ATTATGGTCAACCCTACTTTGAGGAGGCATTTTTTTCTACACTCGCTTTCTGAGTGCCCTCCCACCTTCCAGTCCTATATCTGACAATGTTTCTCTGCTCTTCATAGAGTTTTCAGTGACTAGCGTTTCGGAAGTAGTTTGTCACTCTTTCTTCCTAGTCTGTCTTTGTTTTGTAGCTCATCTGAAACCTGTCCACCATGGGTGACCCTTCATAATGATGTTCACCCTATTTTCACCTCAATTTTAATGAACTTTAGTTTAGCATCATGCATGGAGTTTTATTGAGCAATGTTCTAAGAAAAAACACCTTGAATGAAACTAATTATTGAAACTAATTATTGAAACTAATAAGTAGAGACTTTGTACATGGTGTGCTCCTACAATGAAGATATCTTGTATGATTCTTGAAAGCTTCTCATTGATCACTACTTGTTTTATTTCTTTTGATAAATGCATTCTCTGCATAATAATTGCAGAATTTTTTAAAAATTGCAATGGAACCGTGATAACAGAATTGTCTTTGGATTGGCAGAATCATGCAGACATTTGTTACACAGCAGTGGAAACAAAGCAAAGAGAAATCCAACTGCCTTCACAATAAAAAGGTATCGGAGAAGAAAGTAAAGTCTCCCCTGCATTTATTTTCTACCTTGCGCAGGTATGCAACAGGAGACTTAATCAGTGTCTTACCAAATGCTAGGCATGTGGCATTCCATTGTTATTCAGTTCCAAGAATTCTTTCTGTAATCTTTTCATCTTCAAAGGAAGGTCTAAGTTACATGTATTTTCTTGTTGCAAATGACTAGCTTAGTAAAAACACAGACACTTTTATGTATGCTTAGAAATTTCAGTTCTTTAGCATGTGTTAACTTTTCTAAAATTTTGTTCTCTTTTTGTTTCTAATCATATAGAACTTATCCAACCTAAAATAGCTCATATAAAGATTTTGGATGTGTGTTGTTGTTACTTACTGTTGTAGGGTGGGGTTGAAAACTACTAGAACATTTGTTTTGTTTTTCATGAAAAATATAATTTAGCTTTCATTTCAATTTTAGTTGGTTAGACTGTATAAAAAAGGAGTTGGCAAAATATTTAGAGCAGCATTTCCAGACAGCCTGACTCAGTGTTTTGTAAAGAAATGAGTCTAGGCTACACAAGAGTTCTCAATGGCCCTTTATACTCATGATTTGCTCTATATCAATGTTTCTTTTCTGAAGGTCGCCAAGTTATCCTCCTCCTGGTTGTGGTAAAAACAAATCCAAGTTGAAATCTGAGCAAGATGGTATCTCCAAAACACACAAGCTGTTGCGGAGGACTTGTTCTAGCACAGTCAAGACCGATGATGTGTGCACCACAAAGTCGCACAGGACCTTTGGGCGCTCCCTGTCCAGTGACCCCAGGGCTGAGCAGGCAATGACAACAATTAAATCGCACAAACTCTTGAACCGCCCCTGTCCTGCAGCTGTTAAGCAAGAGGACTGCCTCACTGTAAAGTCACATAAACTACTGACTAGATCTTGTTCTGGAGATCCAGGATGTGAGCACACAACCAGCTTGAAGCCCCACAGACTCTTGAGCAGGTCTTACTCCAGCAATCTCAGAATGGAAGAATTCTATGGACTGAAAAATCATAAGTTGCTCAGCAAGTCGTACTCCAGTGCCCCCAAGTCATCCAAAACAGAGCTTTTCAAGGAACCTA